GCCGTATCCGGCATCGCACTAAATGCGACGGCTCCATATATCAAAGCACGCTGTCCACGCAATTGTTTCAAACACGTGAATACACGAAACCCCTCGATCAAGCCACGTCAGGGGGGAGGCATTCCCGTGCGTGATTCGTGTTCGGGCAGCCTGGGCGGGCGTAGGCCGAGTGAAATCTCACCAGCCCTTTGGGCGACTGGTGGTCTAACGAGGGTTTCTTTCCTCTTCCACAACCCCTCTTCCCTTCGGGGAGGGGAGCCCTCCCCCCCCTCCCTGAGTTTTTTTTTGGGGGGTCGCGACGAGGTTGAGCATCTTCTTCGGCCCCTGGGAAGGCCCCTCACGAGGATCGTAGCCCGCGAGGGGGGGACGGAGACAAAAGAACCCCATCTTTTGATCGATAGCCTCCAAGATGGCCCCAAGAGGGCCTCCAGTGCCCCCTAAAGAGCCTCAAGACGGCCGAAAGAGCGCGTCAAGAAGTCCAAGGAGGCCTCCAAGAGGCACCGCCGAGAGGCCCCCAAGAGGCCCCCGAGCGGCCTCAGAGGGCCCAAGATGACCTCTAAGATGGTTCAGATAGCCCAAGCTGGCTCAAGATGGATCCCAAGGCCGCTCCAAGACGGCTCGAAATGGCCACGTAGACTCCCAAGCCTCCCTCGCTGTTTGACTATTCGTGTCTCTTCCTCTCTTCCCCAAGCAACTCTCATGGGCATCGTTTCTGGATGGGCTGGTGGGGATACGCGAAGCGTCAATCATTCATTGTTAGAAGCGTGCTCGCCATGGCTTCTACTACTCGCAAAATAACTACTCAGAAATTGCCTAGATCCGCCGCGGGGGTTCTTGAATCCACTACATCGATGTAAGCTTGTAATCCCACCAGCCCTCTGGGCGTAAATGGTTTAGGGCGTTTCCTCTTCCACTCCTCCCTCTTCCCCTTCGGGGAGGGGTTTATGACTGTTCCCTATAAATAACCCCCCCTCCCCCAAGCGACAGGGGGCCAACCAGGGACCATGACGACCCCCCCCACAATCCCTTGTAACAAACAATACAAAACACACTTTGCCTCCAAATTCGGAACATGCGCAGCCAACCCGATGCGCCCCCCCCCCCCCACACCACCCGTCAAAAAACGATTCAGAGTACACTTGGCGGAGGCGGTTACAGCGGCTGCGGCGGCGGCGGCGGCGGCTGCTGTGGCGGCTGCGGCTGCGGCGGCGGCGGCGGCGGTGGCGGCGGTGGCGGCGGCGGCGGTGGCGGTAGCAGCAGCGGCTGCGGCGGCGGCGGCGGCAGCGGCGGCGGCGGCGGCGGCGGCGGAGGCGGCGGTGGCGGCGGCGGATTGACTCCCAGTAGTTACCCTTCCAAAGACGACTGCTGAATATGCTGAGGCTCGGGCCAGACTCGGGTGCTACGTATGTGTTGGGAGGGCGGGTGGGAGTGAGCGAGACGGCTTGCGGGCGGAGGAAAAGTCTTGACCCCTGCCCCCACCCCCTCCCCTGGACCTGGACGGGGCGTTCCGCGAACGGTCGGAGCATGTAGAACGGCCTCGGCGAAGAAGCGAAATTTGGCCTCCTGGGGGGGGGGAGGCTTATTTGGGAACCCCCTTCTTTGATCGATCTCCTCCGAGATGGCCCCAAGAGCCCTCCCAAGGCTCCCAATGGTGGCCCAAGAGGGCTCCAAGAGGTGGCCAGGACCCCAAGAAGCCCTAAGAGGCCCCCGGGATGCCCCCAAGAGGCTCCCAAGAGACCCCCAAGAGGCCCCCAAAGGCTCCCCAGAGGCACCCAAGACGCTCCAAGAGGCCTCGGTGAGAATGTCAAACTCACTGATTTAACCCTAGTTGTGGCCACAATTTGGCCTCCTGGGGGGGGACACTGCTTAAGATGACTCCAAGAGCGCCAGGGGAAACCCAATATGACCTCCAAGATGGCTCAACATATCCCAAGATGCCTCAAGATGGCTCCCACGATGCTCCGAGTGGCCCCAAGACTCCCAAGATACCCCCAAGAGGCCCCAAGAAATTCTCCGAAGCACCCAAGACGCTAAAAGGCGCCGGGACCGCCAAGAGGCCCCCAAGACGCTCCAAGAGGCCTCCACTGGGGGATCCTTCCTCTGCATGCTGCCCACTTCCCTGATCGCAGCAATTCTTCTGGGCATCGTTTCTGGATGGACAAGTGTTTTTTTTTCCCGTCGCGGCCACAAGCGAGGGCGCCCGCAGCGGGTCGAGTCGGCTCGGGCTACGAACGAACCTGATTGCCGGCGCGCGCGCAGAAAAGCAATACCTACCGCCGGAGGAAGCAGCTGCGCCGGGGCCGTGCTGCAACCGCCGAGGCTGGGAACCAGCGCCGAGGGTGGGGACTGCAAGCTGCTGGGGCTGCCAAAGAGCTGCAAACGTGCGAGTACCGTGGGAGCTGAATCATCAAGTACGTGAATTTGTATCTTGTCGCCACAGGGCGCCAGAGGCCAGAACGCCACAGAAATGGCGAAGCGCGGGACCACGTGAAAGCCCAGCGAGTGACGGCGGACCGACGGGGGACGCGACTGGTGGGGCTACTTTTTTTGATCTGCGGCTCCAAGGACGATTCCAGAGAGCGGGTCGTCTGGTGGGGCTACGCGAAGCGTCTAGAATTTTCGTACGTTTGCGAGTAAATGGCAAGCGCTCGGTGATACATTGTGTTCCACTCTCCTCACAGGAGACACCGATGACAAATCCCACCAGCTGTCTGAGCGTAGGTGATCTACAGAGTTCTTTCTTTCCGCCTCCAACGCCCTTTTCCTTCGGGGAGGGGAACTCTGCCCTCTCCTCCCGAATTTATTCGGGGGTTCCGCCAAGTGTCATGGGTTCCGTTTTCGCCCAATGTGGCTCCTAGAGGGCCTCCGATGCTCCAAGGTGGCCTCCAAAGCAGCTCAAGATTGCCGAATATGGTTCAAAATAGCTTCGGACATGCCTCCAAAAGGCCCTAACAAGGCCACATGATGGCTCCAAGCGCTTTCGGAGTGGCCGCAAGCTCCCTCCAAGAAGCCAACATCCTTCAACGACCCAGCACACATCAAGGATTTTCCAGTTCTCGCCTTTTCGCATCCGATGCGGTTTTGAAGCGTCAAGGTGGCCCCAAGATGGCCCAAGAGAGCCCCAAGCTGGGTTCATGAGGCCTCCCAGACGGCCCCAAGCGGGCCAGAAGAGGCGATTTCGAGGGCTCTTGGGTGGGAGGCGAGAGAAAGGGACCCCGCATTTGATCGAGGGCTTCCAAAATGGCCCCAAGAGGCCCTCAAGGGCCCCCAAGGGACCCCCGAGAGGGCTCCAAAACGGCCCCAAGAGCGCCCCAAGAGCGTTCCATGAGGCGGTTTCTCCTCGTCCTCGTCCTCCTCCTCCTCCTGCTCCTCCTCCTCCTCCTCCCCTCGCCCCTCTGCGGGTTCCCCAGGGGCAGCTCGAAGAGGCTCTTTAACGCCACCGCCTTGCTCCCAGAGATTTCTCTGTTCATGCTGACTGCCCGCTTTGTTTCACTGAATGTGTCCCTTCGTCCCTTTTCCCATCAAGTCTCATGTGCAGGGTTTCTGAACGGGCTGGTGGGTATACGCGAAGTGTAAATCATTTTTTTCCGAACGGCGCACAATGCTGCGATAACAAATTATATACAAAGCGGGGAGACGTGAACCCATGCACCGCCTCGAAACTTTCATATATGAATGCTTTTCGGGCGTTGATGCCGGTGATACTGCGACCATCATCCGGTTATTCCAATACGGAACGGAACCAACTCATGTACTCGAATCGTCATGTCCGTTATGGCATCTTACCCGAGCAAACGTCCAGAACCTTCCTACAAACAACCAGCCAATGAACCATATTCAAAGTGGAACATTTAATGACTGCTGAGGCCCTTTGCTTCAATTACCTTTGCCATCGGCTAATGGAAAATTTGGACTGCCGCGTCCGCGCGTTGCCGTCGGCACTTGGAATAACGATCTCCAACGATACATTCACAACGGCTGTAACGTCATCATCGTGCCTACACGTTGTTGGCCCAAAACAAGCGCCACGGATGTACCGCGTGTGCTGGAATTCGATAGCCAACCACCGTGATGCCCTATGAACGCGAAGAACCTCCGAATTACGATTAACGGATGCAACGTCGAGGCCCGCAAAACGCGGGCACTCATCTTTACATCTTGTTGATGAGCTCAGTTCTGCGCCTAAGCAAGCGGTATGTCAATATAACAACAAAGTGTTCGTATACCCCTTGTTTTCGATGTGGGTACTCATGCGAATGCACGACACAAGATCAATGACAACACAACGTGCACCATATGCATCAGTCGAAATCCGTTCGAACTGAATCGTAATTTTCATTGGCAAATGTCGATCGTACGACTTGTCATTGACGGTGTAATTCGCAGCCAGTGGGACATAATCATAATGACACTGTGTTGGCCCGAAGCGTGATCATCTGCACGGATCCCATCCGATGGTCGCTGACGAGGTCACAAAACCCGTCTACCTTATCCGGGTACCGAATAAGGCTGTGTAATCGATCCCACAAGCTGTTTGCGAAGTCGCGTTCGCCGTGGAGTCAAATTCAGAGTTAAGAAACCACCAGCAATTCAGCGCTGGGTCCTTACATTCGTTACCCATTTCCCTCGTCTTTGTCGTCGTCTTCCTCCCCCTCCTCCTTGGAGGCGGCTGGGGGGTCTGAACTGGTCGGGACCCCATGAATCTGTCAGGAGGGGGGGATGAAGCCAAATCCGCTCAAATCGGTCTCTGGACCCCTTCCAGGGTCCACCTGGTGCAGTTTTTCGCCCTTTTCTGACCGTCCTGGGGACCTAAAACACCCCCTGGAGGCCGAAGAGGACACAAACTTCCCGAAGCCAGAACCTCAGACTTGCCCGTTCTTCTTGCTGTCCAGAACCAGAGCTGGGCCGCTTCAGACCCCAGACGGCTCCAACCTCCTCCTCCTCCTCCTCGTCCTCCTTCTCCTCATCCTTCTCGTTGTCGTCGTCCTCCCGCGAGGCGCCCGAACGTGGGGAACATCAGCTTGGCGCTGGACTGGTGCAGCCAGCACGACCTTGCGCCGCCGAAATTTTAAAAAGGCTCTGCCCGCCATGCAACAGGACAACAGAACCCTCGCTTGCTGCTGCTGCTGCGGCTGCTCCTCTCGGGGAGACGTAAGACCCGGCTTCGGGGGACCCGGGTTGGCCTTCCGGGGCCATCATGAAAATGATGAGGCCCAGTCTGAAATTTGACTCGAGCTCCCGCTGCAAACATCCCACGAAAACGGGACCGTTCAAATCCAGGACGGGCCCGTCAAGAAGTGTCGGCGAATCCGAGTTACAGCGCACTCGGGTCTCACGTTTGGCCGATCCTCCCCAGACCTCTGGCGACTTGGTTCGCTCCGCGCTTGGCCGTTTCTCGTCACCCTCGGCCTCTGGCGGCCGCATCCAACCAAGACCCCCAGGGCCATCAAGAGACGACCCCGTGGAGTCGCGAGCTCGGGGGGCTGGCGACCTGAAAGAGCCAAATCGTCGGAGGTCTGGTTCCCGCATCTCCTCCCTGCCTCCTGGCCTGCCACACGTCCTCGGAAAGCAGGGTGGGTCCTTCCTCCTCCTCCTCCTCCTCCTTCTCCTCCTCATCCTTTTCCTTCCGCCTCCTGTTCTTCTTGCTCCTCCTGCCCCTTCTCTCCCTTTTCTTCCTTATCCTCCTCCCACCTCCTCCCCCGCCCCTCCTCCATACTCCTTCCTCTCCTCTCCCGCTCCCCTCCGCCCTCTCTGTGGTCCTCCTCCTTCTTGCTGCGTCCTGGCTCCGTCCTCTGTGCTTGGCCCTCCGTTCTCCTCCCTCACTCCTGCTGCTGCTCGTCCTCATTCCTCCCCCCTTCATTTTCCTTGTGTCTCCCGTCCTCCCTCGTCCGCCTCCGCTCTCCCTCTTCCGTGCTTTTTTCTCCTCCGGCCTCTCCATGGCGAAGCTGAAGGCTCAACCGCTCTTACATCATGTGTGTGTGTGTGTGTCCCTGCCTGGATCTTGCATCTGGGCTCGGGGGGCCCCGCTGAGGAACCCGGCTCGCAGAAGCGGGGCCCCTCCAGGGAACTCTCGCGGCCGTTTCGCCCTCCGTCCCGCTCCAAGCGCTAGCCCGTCGCGGCCATGCGCATTTCCCTTCCCTGCAACATTGCGCGGCTGCAACTCCCTCACCCCGTCTCCCCACTTTGGGACAGCCATGGTTGTTCCGCGCCCCGCGCCGTCAACCTCTCCACCGCGGGCAGCCCTCACGGCAGCCTGGCTCGTCGCGTGATCAGCCCAGGCGCACTCTCGCTCGTCGGGTACCGCCATGTTCGTTCACTGACGCTGCCTCGAATATATTCAGATATCTCAATCGCCACCCACGCCCGGGTGGTCATGTGCGGGCGACCTGGAGTTGTCCCGCGTCTGAAGGGTCGGCCGCGCGCGTTCGTTTCGCGCCGTTTGGTCGACTCGTGAGGGGCAATTACATCTTACTGGTAACCGTGTGTGGAGTCCGACCGCCCTGCACACTCTCTTATCCTTTCTCCTCCTCGTCCTTCTCGTTTCCTCCTCCTCCTCCTCCGCCCTCCACACCCATCTTCCACTAATTACTTGCGGCGAAACAAAAGAGACAACAGGCCATCCAGCAAGACATAGGGCGAGATTGAATAAGGGCCAGCCTGTGGGCGTGGCCGAAACCTTTTCTGGGGGCATTCGAACGAAGAGTTCAAAATTATCCCGGCAAAGCAACCTAACAGCGATGTGTAGAAGCATATCTGAAAGCATTCCCCTTAAGATTCAGATGAACATCCAGTTGTAGAATTCTGCTGTTCTCGCAGTCGTAGTCGCATTCGCGATGACAGTCGCAGCGGCAACGGCAGTCGCAGTCACAGCCTCAGCCTCAGCCTGCCTCAGCCTCAGCCTCAGCCTGCCTCAGCCTCAGCCTGCCTCAGCCTCAGCCTCAGCCTGCTTCAGCCTCAGCCTCAGTCTGCCTTCAGCCTCGGCCTCAGCCTCAGCCTGCCTCAGCCTCAGCCTGCATCAGCCTCAGCCTCAGCCTCAGCCTGCCTCAGCATCAGCCTGCTTCAGCCTCAGCCTCAGCCTGCCTCAGCCTCAGCCTCAGTCTGCTTCAGCCTCAGCCTCAGTCTGCCTTCAGCCTCGGCCTCAGCCTCAGCCTGCCTCAGCCTCAGCCTGCCTCGGCCGCAGCATCAGCCTGCCTCAGCATTCAAAATGTGGCCCAGGAATGGAGTTCTGGGAACTCGAAGAACACGAAGTGGCCTACAGTTGGCTCCGGGCATTCAAAATCATGCCCAGGAATGGAGTTCTGGGAACTCGAAGAGCACGAAGTGGCCTACAGTTGGCTCCGGGCATCCAAAATGTGGCCCGGGAATGGAGTTCTGGGAAATCGAAGAGCACGAAGTGGCCTACAGTTGGCTCCGGGCATCCACAATGTGGCCCGGGAATGGAGTTCTGGGAAGTCGAAGAGCACGAAGTGTTTGGCTGTTGACGAAAAACGAGCCCGGCTCTGTTCCCGGTTCTCCAGAAAGTGTGGCCGAAGAGCGGGAATGGAGTTCTGGGAGGTCGAAGAGCACGAAGTGTGTGACTGTTGGCGAAAAACAATTCCCGTTTCTCCTCCCCGGCACCCGCCCAGACCCCCCTGAGGAGTCATGATGCTCTCTTTTGACCCTACTAGAAACCTATCAGCAAACGCTGTTAGGTAATTTTCCCATGAAGAAAGAAGAGGAACAATGGAACAACGAAAGGTGTTTCTGGAAAGCATCGCAACGCGCACTGCGACATATCGCTGAGATTTTCCAAGCCCCAAGTCATGATCGGACGAAGCGCAAGACGTGTATATGCATCCATGGTTGATCGGACCCGCGCAGGCGCATACATGAACTGTGTGATTTTCTGAACACGCAGTCTGCGCACGTGTTGCAGCTGAAAGCCCAAGCATGCTCGCGCAATGTTTATGTAATTGTGGTAAGCAATTGTCGCCCCTCCTGGTGTCGTTCGCGACGCATCCGAAATGCACGAATTCCGGAAAGGGGGCAACAGCCGAACGATATCGTTAGAGCCCAGAGCACAATCGATTGATTCCCCGGGGGGTGGGGGGTGGGGGAACAGCGAATTCTCAGGAATCTTCGGAGATGTTTCGGGAATCCTGCAGGAAGCGTCAGGTATCCTCCAGGAGTTATTTCGGCCTCCTCCAGGAACGTCAGGCGTTCTCAAGAACTGAAGCGGCCCGCAAGAATCATTGAGGAAATCTCGAGGAAACCTAAGGAATCTGACAACATCCGAAGGATCTCTCCTGGATCCCGCGAATCCTGATGACTCTGCAGAACATATTTCAGCAGCCGGCAGGAGCCTGGAGAAATTTGCAGGAACACTGCTAGAATCTTTAGGACTGCGCATGCATCTTCACAACCATAGGACAATCTAGAAACTTCCCACCTCCATCCGTGCTCGGACCTCCGTTCTCGATCCTGAGACTCCCAGGTATTCTTTTCACGCTGAAAAGGCCCCCCCAACATCTCGGCGTGTAATGGCAGGGGAGGCCGTCCTACGATTGCCGGGCTGACTCGCCCAGTTGTTATGAATCCAGAGTTCTGACCTCTCCCTCAACTCCTTGCTAGGGCTCGCTGGTACCTCTTCTCGGTAAGGGGCCCCAGCGGCCTCGGGCAGGCGGCGCGACGCCCGACGCCTCGAGTTTGTCATCTGCGGCTTTAGGGCTGAAGACGATCTTCTGTTCTGGGGAGGGGAGCAGCGAATTCCTAGGAATCTTCGGGGATCTTCCAAGGATCCCACAGGAACCCTCACGCATCTTTCAAGAATCATTCTGGTCTCCTCCAGAAGCTTCGAAATCCAGAAGTATCTGAAGGTACCCGCAATTTTCCTTGGGGACATCTGGAGGAACACGAACACCTGATCGACGGAGCAGGGGGACGCGTCTGAGCGCCTCAAGTACCCCAGTGGCGTCGGTCATGGGCCTCTGGCCTCAGCGGAACGGGCTGACGTCCGCGCACTCAGCCTGGTCGTCGTGGGTGAGCTGGCTGAGATCTCACTGAAACGCAGGAAGGCACCTGTGGATTGGCTGACCCCCACATAGCCGTGCCGTGCTGGCGGAATATGATCTCGTTTGATCAGGAGTCTCAGCCCTGGCCTCAGCTGCTGACAGGGTCGTGTTTACCGGCGCTGAAGACAGCGATGGGCCGCATCTTGAGCGACCATGGACAAATGCGGATGCCGCTGTTCCGCGGGCCTCTCCCGGGGCGCGTTCTACTGGGGATTTCGAGGCGCTCCTGGTCGTGGCGACGAGGAAAAGACAGCGGCATCGGTGCCCTTTTCCTTCTCTAATACCCCATGCGGAACGATCGGGCTAACATGCTGCTCCACCTCAGCACCTTGCGCGCTGAGTAGCCACCATCCTGCTGGGGGACCCAGCTCTTGAGAACTGCAAGGCGATGTCTGATCGCCTCATGTGGCGTGATGTCAGAATCTCTGGGAGATTCCTCGTTGTGGCTCAAACGAGCGGCGATGGTGCTTCCCAACCACCTTGTGTCCTAATCTTCTCGCAACCTTTGAAAAGCAGGCCCGCGATGCTGGCGATTCCGGAAGTTTCGGAAGCCTTGAGGGTCCAGGACAGGTCGGGCCTCAGCGTCAGGGCGACGCTGAAACCCGCAACAGCAGCGCACACGAGGAGGAACACCTGGCCCGGCATCCTGACGTATGTCTGAAGGCTGGGATGTCTTAGAGCTTGTGCGTTCGAGGGCGCCTCTGCTGAAACCCCCTGGGGCCGAAACGGCGCCAGGAGCGGAAGGAGGGGGGAAGAGAAAGCTCCAAAGAAATCCCTGCATATTCCAGCAGTTCCCTGGGATTCCTGGAGATTCTTGTGAGATCCCCGAAGGATTATCGAGGATTCCCAATATTCCCGCAGCGCGAATACGAGAAGCACCACTTGAAAATGACCCGCCCTCCATCCATGAAGCTCGTGCAAACGTTTCACACGAATGTGCGTGTCGCTAAACCAAGAACCACATTTTTGAAAAGACCCACCCTCCATCCGTGAAGCCCTTGCGAACTTTTAAATCGAATGTTCGCGGCGCTCATGTGATAAGCGTATTTGAAGACAGGGCCCGACCTCCATCCGCGAAGCTCCTGCGAACTTTTGAAACGAATGTGCACGACGCAAAAGCGAGAACCACATTCTGAAAAAAAAGACCCACCCGCCATCCGTGAAGCCTTTTGCAAGCTTTTCGCACAACTGTGCGCGACGCTAAGACCATGACCGCATTCTGAACAGGATCCACCCTCCATCAGTAAAGCTCGTGCAAGCTTTTAGAAAACAATGTGCGCGACTCTAGGCAGTAACCGCATTTTGACGCAAGACCCACCCTCTATCCGTTTAGCTCTCTCAAGCTTTTAAAACGAATGCGCACGACGCTCAAGCAATTACCACATTTTGAAACATGACCCACCCTCTATCCATGAAGTTCTTGCGAGCTTTCAACATGAATGTGCGCTACGCAACAGCGATAACCACATTCTGGAAAAAGGACCCGCCCTCCATCCGTGAAGCTCTTGCAAACGTTGAACACGAATGTGCGCGACGCTAAAGCGATTACCACATTCTGAAAATGACCCGCCCTCCATCCATGAAGCTCTTTCGAGCTTTCAAGACGAGTGTGCGAGACGCAAAAGCGAGAACCACATTCTGAAAAAAGGACCAGCCTTCCATTCGCTAAGCTATCGCAAACCGTAATGACGAATGTGCGTGACGCAAAGGCGTCAGCCACACTTGAAACTCTGGGGCTGGGACTGGGTGTATCACTTCCAGATCGGTAGTGATATACTTTCTCCGAAAGGAGGGGGGGTCAATATCTGCTTACGAGGGTTATATTATACATACTCTACGTTCTTGGATTTTTTTGTTGGGGTAGTTCATTCGATGGTGTGCGTGAGCATCTCGCGATCCTTGTGCTCCCCCTCCTCGTCGTCCTCCTCCTCTGGTGTGTGTGTGTGTGTGTGTGTTTGTGCCCTGTTTGTGTAGGTGTGCCCTGTTTCGGCTATGTCCACTAGATGCAAACCTTTCGGCCACGTCCACTAGATGGTCTTGCGAGCGTATCTTCGCGGAGGCTCCGAGGAGGATGAGGATGATGATGAGGACGAGGAGGAGTATGGACCAGGGAAAGCGCATGGGCTGTGAGCGTGTGCACCCTCGGCGAAACCTTTCGGGTTTCTGGCCACGGCGTGGGCGCTCTGGCCACACAAGCGGATGCGTTGAGCGGAAAAAGGGCACTAAGAGCGTCCGCCAGCGAAGCAAGCCCGTGCCAAGGAGCAGACGCGCGGGCGAAGAATGGCGGCCAGGACGGGCGGTCGCGACGCCCGGGGCACGCGACCGGGAGGGACGCGACCGGAAGGGAGCGACAGATCGCAAGCGGGGACCTCGTCGTGCATAACCCGAGTCGTCGCCGTCGCCACCGCCGTCGTGTTCGCATTCCTCGGCCCGTCCTCCTCGTCGCCAACCGCGGAGGCGCTCGTGCGCGCCCGTCGGCTGGGGCAAGACAGGGCGACGGTGCACCGAGGCCGGAAGGGAGGAGGGAGGGCATCAGGAGAGGGGAGGCCAGAAGGGGAGTTGAGAGTAAGGGACCGGGCAAGCGCTGGCGAAAAGAGCACAGGGCGAGAGAGAGAGGCAGACAGGGAGAGGGCGGCTGGGTGCATGGACGAGGAGGGGGAATCATCCGCCAGCCTTCAGCCTTAAGCCTCCGCCTTCGCCTCCGCCTCCGCCTCCGCTCCGCCTCCGCCTCCGCCTCCGCCTCCTCCTCCTCCTCCTCCTCGTCCTCCATGTCCTGCTCGGCCATCCTCCTCCCTGGACCTTCGACGTAATGTTTTTCCTCCTGACGTGGGCCCCCCGGAGCTCCTGGTCCCATCCCTACAACCAACTTTTCGTACTGGGGCGATTTTTTCATGTTCGCAGGCCCCGAAAATGGCCCCCAATGGCGCAAACCTTTGAAAGACCGCCCGTTGTGTTTTTTCGTGGCGCCAGAAATCTGTATTCCCCTCCTTATTTTTGGAGACGAGGGGGGATGATCATCCGATATCGCAGCGGCGAGCGCATGACCTGTTCCGCACCTCCAGGCTGAAGAAGGCGCACCCAGGAGTGTCGGCGCACCACTGCTGGCACCTCTCCCCGGTTCCATCCTGGCTCGCCTGCCCCCCTAGAGGAGTAGGAGGACACGATGCGACACGCATGCGTATGCGATTCACGCCATGTTATTTGATTTTCCAGCGAGTCCTGTATTCAATCATCTCGAAAGATTGCGCATCAAGATTCCCTGACTGTACAAGACTGGCAAGCCGCTGATGGCGTGGTGAACCTCGGCTCTCAGAGGAAGGGGCCATTAACGCCATGTTCTTCGATTTTCCAGTGCGTCCTGTTCAGACACATCTCGAAAGATTGCGCAGTAAGATGCCCTGACTGTACAAGACTGGCAGGAGGCTGGTGGCGTGGTGGACCTCGGCTTTTGGAGGAAAGGTGCCTAGGCAGTACCCTGCGGACCCAGGCCGCGGACAAGGCCCTGGGGCCCTCCTGGACCCTCGCAGCCACCCGCGCACGAAGAAACCAGAGGGAGCTGAGGTCACTACTGGGTGGCCTTCTGCTTCGCGAAGGACTCCCTCCTCCTCCTCCTCCTCTTCTCCTCCTCCTTCTCCTCCTCCTTCTCTCCTTCTCTCCTTCTCTCCTTCTCTCC